TGGGGCTGTTCCCAAGGGAGAATCCCAAAGCCCAGACTGTGCCCAGCTGCTGCTGCTGCTTCAGGGGTGCCGGGGTCCAGCCTGGTACTCCCTGACAGCAAAAAGGGAAAGCACAGGGAAAGCCCTGCAGGGGTTCCAGGGGATCCCAGTGCCCTCGAGCACAGAGGGACAGCTGGCTCTGGGATCACCTGCACCATTCCCACCCAAAATCCCACAGCCAAGGGTGCAGCCACAGCCCATGGGGATGTTCCATTTCTCCAAGAATTCCCAAACCTTCTCTCTCTGGCTGTGGGACCTGGGCAGCTGCAGGCCCTGGGAAGCCTCCAGGACCCTCCACCCCTAATAATTTCCCGTTTTCCCAGTGCCAGCTCACAGTTCCTCCCCAGGTGATGGCAAACCAGGAAAGTTCTCAGCCAGTCGTTCCCAACAGCGACCATTTAACATCCTCAAATCCGGTTTCATGTTTTCCAAGGTATTTTTAACACATCCAAGTCTGCATCTGTGTTTGGTGGCAGTGCCAGCCCTGGGAGGGGACAGGGGCTCCACACAGGGAGCAGGCAGGACAAGGCTGAGGGTGAATGGGGCAGCTGAGAGCAGAGCCAAGGAAATCCAGGAAAAATCTGAGCAGGAAATGTCCAGGAGGTCGGTTTGCTGTTGGTAGTGAGCACTTGGAGTGTAAAGATGTTAAACCCCTTGGTTAAAGCCCTTTCCAGGGCCTAAAGGAGCTCCAGGAGAGCTGGAGAGGGACTGGGGACAAGGAATGGAGGGACAGGACACAGGGAATGGCTCTCACTGACAAGAAGGCAGGGATGGATGGGAGATTGGGAATTAGGAATTGTTCCTGGCAGGGTGGGCAGGGACTGGGATGGAATTCCCAGAGCAGCTGTGGCTGCCCCTGGATCCCTGGCAGTGCCCAAGGCCAGGCTGGACACTGGGGCTGGAGCAGCTGGGACAGTGGCAGTGTCCCTGCCAGGGCAGGGTGGCACTGGGTGGGCTCTGAGGCCCTTTCCCCCCAACCCATTCCGGGATGCTGGGACCCCTCTCTGCTGTGGTTCAGCACTGAATTTCCCAACACAATCAGAAATGCCTCTGCACAGACAGAGCACAGAGCTCTGAGGGGGAATGCAAGGGCAGGGAATGCAAAACCAGGGAAATGAACCCCCACAAAGGGATCAGCTGAGGGCAGGGCTCCAGGGAGGCCTGATCAGGGGGGATCAGGGAGTTTATTCCCAGGAAGTGCCCGTGGATGAGGGGTGTCCTGCTGGGATCCCCTGGGCAGGCAGAGCCTGTCCCACAGCAGCAGGGTTGGGGACAGGTCCCAAAATAGCTCAGGGGGTGACAGCTGCGGGGTCAGCACCCACCCTGGCAGCTTTTGGACATAAATAAACACAGCCAGTCCCACCTCAGCTCGAGGAATTATTTCTTTCCCTGGGGTGGCAGAGCCCTGAGCAGCTGCCCAGTGTGGGCCTGGGGTTTCCCTCTCTGGGGACATCCCAACCCCAGCCGGACACGTCCCCGTGTCCCCTGCTCCAGGCTGGGCTGGATGGTGTCCAGAGGTCCCTCCTGTGATTCTGTGAACTGGTGGGATGTCACAGTTAGAATTTCCAAAGGAAATTGGGGATGCTGTGCCAGTCGGAGCTCCCTGCCCGTGCCCGTCCCTCACCATCCCTTTGGAAGTGCCCGGTTCCAGGGCTGTCCCTGGCAGGCAGGGCAGGCCCATCCGTGCCCACACAACTCCCTGGGCAGCACTTTGGACAGGACATGGATCCAGGGATCCATGGGGAGCTGGCCTGGCCCTGGAGCCACGGGCAGGCACAGCCGTGGTGCCACCACCCAACCCCAAACAGCACCATTTGCAAATCACGGAAATTCAAACAAAACAAAAAAATTTAATCCCCAAAAAAAAGTGTTTTGCCGATCCTCTCCCTGGCTGATTCCAGCTGGTTTAGTGGAAGGGACTGACTGGCACCAGTCTGGGCACTCCTGGCACTGCCCATGGCACAGGAGGTGGCACTTGTCCCCTTCTGTGTCCCTTGGGTGGCGGTGGCTGTGTCACCTCCCTCCTCCTCCTCCTCCCCGGGCAGGGCACTCGCTCATCACTTCGGTTTTCTACCTGTGAGTACTGTATCCAGTTCAGAACCAACAGCTTCCTTTAGTAAAGATTTTACCATTTTATAAAAGACATGTTTAATTATGATGGAGATGGCTGTATTGTAATTAATATTTTGAGATAATTGTGATTTTGAGCTTAAATTATATACAGAAATGGTCATTTTTGTATGTGTTCAAAGATTGCTATATTCCAGATGACTGTACTTTTCAGTTGAATTCCAGTATCCATGTAAATAAAGCTGAATGAGGAAATATTTACTACTTTATTAACATAGATCGTGAATGTACTTCATGTTTTTTGCAGTATAAAGACTTACTGAACTTGAAAGCTGCTTCATTTTATGTGCGAAAAGGTACTTCAAAAACTCTATTTTAAATCTATTGATTGAGTGCAATCAGCTCCTGTCCCCTGGCACATGCAGGTTGTCCCCTCCCCGTGCCCTGGAGGGCCTGGCCCGTGCTGTGGGGGCTGCTCTGTGCAGAGGGAGCCCAGGGACTGAACCGATGCTGTGCAGTGCAGCAGAGCCATTTTCGGCTTTGCTGTACCCACCTTTTTCAGTATTTCCAAAAAAAAAAAGTGTTTTGAATAACATTAAAAAGTCTCTTTATTGTATAAATAATAAAAACGTCACCTTATTGTAAGGCTTTCGGGTGGTTTTTTTTTTTTTGGTTTTTTTTTTTTGCTGGCAGAAAGGAGGTTTCAGAGGGTGGGGAAGGGGGGAATGAGCCTGGAAAATTGGGAAACTCCCAACTGGTCCAGCTGCAGCCACTGGGAGACATCAAATATGGAAAGGGAGCAATGGAAATGGGGAAGAAAACTCAGGTTTGGCAGCTTTTGGGGCAAATGTGTGGAAGGATAAATGCATGGACAAAATGGATGAAAGGACAATACATGTGGAAGGATAAATGCATGAAGAAATGGATGAAAGGACAAATGCACACAGGAGAAAATGTATGGAAACAAAAGGAGGCAGGGGCTGAGGGCAGCAGCAGTTCCATCATCCAAGGAGCTGCAGAAGTGGCCCTGGAGCTCCAGGTGTCCCCTGCTGTCATCTGCTTCCCACGGGGCAGATCCTGCCCTTCCCATCCCCACTCCCCCAAAGCCCTTTCCCATTCCCTTTCCCATTTCCTGCAGCCAGGACCAGGTTCTGCTCCCCTCCCTGGGGACACAGGGAGGTGCAGCTGGGCCTGAGCCCCCTGAGCCATCCCTGCTCCAGCTGGAAGGCAATTCCCACACCTGGGGAGCTGAGGGTGAGCTCAGAGTGTTTTATGTTCATCTGGACACGTTCAAAACCTGGGAAATTTAGTGAGGAACTGTACAAAATCCTGCTGTGCTACTGAACCTCCAGGGCTGTGTCCATGAGAGAGCCTGAGTGGCTGGAGCGTGTCCAGGGCAGGGAATGGAGCTGGGAAGGGGCTGGAGAATCCCTGAGGGAGCTGGGAAGGGGCTGGAGAATCCCTGGGGGAGCTGAGAAGGGGCTGGAGAATCCCTGAGGGAGCTGGGAAGGGGCTCAGCCTGGAGCACAGGAGGCTCAGGGGGCCCTTGTGGCTCTGCCCAGCTCCTGCCAGGAGGGGACAGCCGGGGGGTCGGGCTGTGCTCCAGGAACAGGGACAGGAGCAGAGGGAACGGCCCCAGGCTGGGCCAGGGGAGGATCAGGGTGGGCACAGCAGGAATTTCCCCATGGAAAGGGGGGTCAGGCACTGGAGGGTGGTGGAGCCCACCCACAGCACTGTTCCCATTAAAGGTCCCACCTGCAGGACATCTGGAAGTGTGCCTGAACAAGAGAAGTTCTCAATGTTCCCATCTACAGAGCTCAGTTACAGCCTGAAGGACCCAAAGCAGATCCAAGGGGAACATTTATTGTCTCAGCCCAGCAGCAGCCCCATCTTCACTCAGGTGAGCCCTGCACACACCTGGGGCATTTCTCACCACCTCACAGCTCAAGCACTCCACCACACTCACACCAGGGGCAGTTCTGGGGACAGCAGTGAAACAAGAGAAAACAGGAATACAAACCCCAGAGTGTCCCCTTCTGCCTTTGGCCCCGGTGCTTTGATGGTGACAGCCCTCTCCAGAGCCCAGCTCAGCTGCAAAAGCACCATGGCTGTGCTGAAGGCAGCTTTCCTTGCTGTCCTTTATTACAAACAGTGTAAACAGAGTGTGTGGGATCCTGAAATCCCTGCTGGAACATGCAGAGGGCAGGGAATGTTTCACACCTGGGTTCTTAACACTGGGCAGACTCGCAGCCAGGAGCAGGAGAAGGATGGAAGCTGTAGAGCCCAGGGGCACTGCTGGGACAGGGGGTACTTGGCTGCTCCTGTGCTGCTGGAATGTGGCTCTGCAGGTATTCCAGCAGTGCAGCTGTGCCCCTGGCCAGGCCAGGCTCAGGTGGGAATGCCCAGGCTGGAATGGTCAGGGCTCAGGTGGGAATGCCCAGGGCTCAGGAGGAGTGCCCAGGCTCAAGAGGGAATGCGGCTCCAAAGGTATTCCAGCAGTGCAGCCATGCCCTTGGCCAGGCCAGGCTCAGGTGGGAATGGTCAGGGCTCAGGGCTGAGGAGGGAATGCCCAAGCTCAGGAGGAATGCCCAGGGCTCAGGTGGCAGTGCCCAGGGCTCAGGGTTGAGGAGGGAATGCCCAGGCTCAGGAGGAATGCCCGGGCTCAGGAGGCAATGCCCAGGGCTCAGGAGGAATGCCCGGGCTCAGGAGGGAATGCCCAGGCCCAGGAGGAATGCCCAGGCTCAGGAGGCAGTGCCCAGGGCTCAGGAGGAATGCCCGGGCTCAGGAGGGAATGCGGCTCCGCAGGTACTCCAGCACGGCAGCCGGGCCCTTGGCCAGGCCAGGCTCAGGGCTGAGGAGGGAATGCCCGGGCTCAGGAGGAATGCCCCGGGCTCAGGAGGAATGCCCGGGCTCAGGAGGGAATGCCCAGGGCTCAGGGCTGAGGTGGGAATGCCCAGGGCCCAGGAGGAATGCCCGGGCCCAGGAGGAATGCCCAGGCTCAGGAGGAATGCCCAGGCTCAGGAGGAATGCCCGGGCTCAGGAGGGAATGCGGCTCCGCAGGTACTCCAGCACGGCAGCCGTGCCCTTGGCCAGGCCAGGCTCAGGGCTGAGGAGGGAATGCCCGGGCTCAGGAGGAATGCCCAGGGCTCAGGAGGAATGCCCGGGCTCAGGAGGGAATGCGGCTCCGCAGGTACTCCAGCACGGCAGCCGTGCCCTTGGCCAGCACGGCGGCGCGGGGCGTGCGGAACGGGTTCCCTTCCAGCAGCAGGCTCCTGCAAACAGGGCTGAGTTACTGGGAGGAATCTCCTTGTACCCACACACTCATCCACTGCATGCAGATTTCTGAGGCCTTTGAAATTCCTGGGGAGTTCCTCTTTGGTCCTGCTAAAAGAGTCTGGGTTTCTGCTTCCCTCGTTCTCAGCAGCTGAGCTTTGAGACAGCTGAGTTTTAATTTATGCTGATAAATCAGTGGGGGTGTAACACACACCCCACTCCTTCAGCCTCTGCCAGGAGGAGTGAAAAGAGAACCTCTGGAATATAGAAACAGAATTCCAGAGTGGCTCAGGCCAGAAGGGAGCAGTGGGGTCAGCTGGTCCAACCTCCCTGCTCAACGGGAGGTGCACCAGGAGCGTGACTGGGAGCACAGGAAATGTCACCCCCAAGGCTCCACCACGAGCTTCACACAACCCCCAGACCCTCAACATCAGTTCTAATTGATGAAACAACTCCCACAGTTCTCTGCAATACTGAGAAATTAGGGAAGACATTATGGAAGAAATTGCCCTGTTCTACAGAAGGCCAGAGAGACACTTTTTGGGCAAACCCAACACCCTGCCAATGGGTGCTTTTTCCTCTGGCAAACACACCCTGAAGAACTCAGACAGCAAGTGTGCTCATAAGCAGGCCCCCTGACCCCACACACCTGAGATTCTCACAGTTGCCCAGCTCTGGGGGCACCTGGAGGAGGTCATTGTTCTGCAGGTCCAGCGTTCCCAGCTTGTCCAGCCCCTTCAGCTGCACGGGGTCGATGGATCCCACCTGGTTGTTGCTGAGCAGGATGGTCTCCAGGGCTGGGAGGTGATACAGGACACTGGGAAACACCTTAAATCTTCAGGAAGGGAAAGGAGGGATAGTCAAGAACAGGGCATTCAGAAGAGAAGCACTTAATGGGAGCTCCCAGCTCATTGAAGTGGCTCCTTGTTCTCACATCACAGAAAAATTGTGTCAAACTCAGCCCAGCTCTTTTCATTATTGTATTTTTTAAAAATCTAAAGAGTTCCTCACCTATTGAAAGCAAGATTTATTGTGTGCAGTCTTTTCAGTGCCTCCATTTCCTCAGGCAAGGCTGTCAGAACATTGTTTCTGTTATCAAAGAAAAGAAAAATAACAAGCACTAAACTCAGTCAGGGGCTTGGATGAGAATTCCCAAATCACCTACACAGTCTGGGGCCAGTTCACTGCCTCACAGCAGGGGCAGGAGCATGCCAGGGATTCCCCTTTCTGCCAGGAGGACACTCAAAGCCTGTCCTCTAAAGATTCCCAAGTATTCCCAAGCAGCCACCAACTGCACAAACCTGCCTGGAAATTCAGCTCCTGGTTTCCAGAGGAAAGCTTATCAAAGTGCCCAGACCCTGGAGCCCAAGTGAAACACTCAGGTCACTCCAAAGCTCCCCAAAATCAATGGACTGAGCTAATCCTGATCTAAACAAGGCCAGGAACATTTCTCAGGAATCAGAGGAGGAAAGGTGACAACAAGGAACCATCTCTTGCCTCTCCTTCCAGCAGTGCGACAAAATCTGCACCTTCCCTGTCCTAATTCCCAGGATTTTTTGGTGTGGTTTCTTCCCAGGGGTTGCAGGAGTGTTTTGAAATAGCAACATCTCAGAACCCTTCTCTGAGTGAGGCAGGATCTCTCCTCCAGCAAGTCTCAGAACTGGTCCATTTGTGTCTTTTTTAAGCAAGGCCCAAATTTAGGCCATGTCCTCTTCTGGCTCTGCCACGGAGAGATTTTGGGAGTGAAGACGATTTCAGTGCTGCCATTCCACTGGAACAGATGGCTGCTTTAGGAAGGCAGGCAAAAAAATTCCCAGGCAAGGAAGTGCAACAACACACATCACCAACCTGAGATCCAAATGTGTCAACTTCTGGAGCAGGCACAGCTCCGAGGAAATGGAGGAGATTTTGTTGAAGGCCAGGCTGACATCACAAACTGAGTCCTTCAGCTCCACAAGCCTGAAGCACAAAAGGAAGATGCTCTCACTATGGAAGCTCATGGTTGCTTGCTTTCTAAGTTATTAGAAAACCTGGCTTATTCTACAAATCAAGGACAACTTACAGGTTTTTTGCTGAAGTGATTTTGAGGAGATCACAGAATGTCACCTGTGAGAGGAGCTGCTGCTCCTCCAGCCTTGCATGTGGGGTAAGGCAAAGCTCAAATTATTTATTTGCAGTTATCAGATTGCATTTTCTCTCACAAACATTGCTACCAAAGCCTCCTCAGTAAATGTGGTCAGGAACTGTTTCAGAGACCATGGCCCAGGTGACATCACTACCACCTCCTGCCCTGGACATGTTTTAATACAGACTTCACCCACCTTCTTCTGCAGCCAAAAAGCCTGACTAAAAAATCCCATTTTTTCCCATATTTTGTTTCTGCTCCCCTGTTGTGCTGTTACAAAACTCTGGGAGTAGCTGCTGCTGCTTGAAGAAGGTTATTTATTATACTAACAGGTTTTTGTAGAGGTTTTCACAGCTCAAAAAGTTCCCTGTTGAACCCCTCAAAGAGAATCTCTGGCTTAGCCCTGAAACAAAAGGCAGTTACATGATAAACCTCTCCTGCCTCCTGTCTGGACTGGCATGGAATTCTGAGGCAGCTGCACACTCCCCCACACCTATCCCAGGGAATTCAGCAGCCCCTCACACAGTGACACAGCATGGGATGCACAAGCAGCAGCTCCCAAAACTGAGTCTCCAGAATCCTTTTTGTCCCTCTGGGATTGCACCTGCCCAAGCTGTCTGTGCCAGAGGTTGTGCTCAGCACACCTGGGAATAAACTGTCCTCAAAAACCACTGAGGATGATTTTTGGGGGCTCCCAGAGACACAGAAACCTTCCTCCTGACACAGAGGGATTCGAGGTTCCCAGCAGTGCCAGGAAAAGCCTTTCCTTGGCTGTGGCTGGCCCCGGTGACTGCACAGCCCCACCTGGGATCTGTGTGCACAAACAGCTCAGGGGGGGAACAGCATGCTGCAAGCAAAGGCAGGAGAGCAAACTCCAGGTGGGAATGGCCTTCCCAGCAGTACCTCGGGGGGATCTCCCTGAGCTGGTTCTTGCTGAAGTTCACGGTGGCCACGGGATTGGCGCCCACGGCGTCGAACACGGCCTCGGGGATCTCGGCAGCCTGCTTGTCACTGGGACAGCAGAGACACCAATTAACCACTGCCTGCTAATCAACACGGCACTTCCACCTTCTTCTAGAGAAGACGGAGAGCAGAACACGGGGGAACAGCTGCAGAATGCCCCCAGTGCTGCCCCACGCCCACAATGTCACCAAAGAGGATTTTTTTTTCCATTTCCCAACCCTTCCAGGTCCATTTAAGGAATAACTGAGCAGGCACTGCCCTACCACAAGATGTTCTGGGACTTAGTGAAAATCATAAAGAGCTTCAAAGGTACTAAGAGCACCTGCTGGGATTCTGCAGTTCAATATTATCACAGAATATTTGATAAAACAAAAAAAAAATTTAAACCCCATAGTCTAAATCTGCCCATTCCCAAGCACAGGAATTAAAGGGAAGACTGCCCACACGCAGCAGGGTTTGTGGACAGCTTGGTGTATAATGAAGGTGGGGAAAAAAACCAGGAGCATAAAACAGGACAGCGTTCTTAGAGCTTCAGGAATGGGCAATATTCCCAAATACCTGTATTCCAATAATTTCAGGGTGGTTATGGCGTGGATGTTGACCTTGGACTGGCTGGGAAGAGTCATGGCTGTCACAGGAGGCTCTTCATTGGGGCCAGGTCCATCATCTGGGGACACCAGAGGGGTGCAGGGACACAGCTGAGCTGCTCTGAGTGGCCCCAGGCAGCTGCCACCACCCCCCTCTAATCCTGCTCTACTCTGGCTCAACTCCAGATCATCATTTTCAGATAATTTCAGTCATTTCCTAACAAAGGTTTTTTACCATCTTGGATTTGGGGGTTCTTTTAGGGGGAAGGAGGGAGAAGGGCTGACCTGGACTTTGCCAAGCAGGGGAGGGAGCACTGGAGATGTGATTCTGTGAGGTTCTGCTCCATGGGGTAGGGAGCTGGAAACTACAAAAACCAGGGAATTCCAACTGGAAATGATGACCTAGAGCAGCTTTACCCACACTGGCACATCTGACCACAATTTCAGTTAAAGCATTAATATTTACAAACCCTCATCTATGAATTTCCTTCTGGTTACTCCCCACAATCCACATGAAAAAGCTCCTGCACACCTGAAATGGGAATTCCCATCCAGCTGAGTCTGGGTTTGTAAAGGATAATCCTCAGTTCAGAATGTTTATTATTCAGTATTAGCTAATAGGATAAGAAACTGAAATATCACAGCAAACTGTTGAGTAAAGGAAATTTTTACTGCAGGATAACTGGGAAAAACCTGGATTTAAACAACCATCTACTTAAATTTCTTAGAATATTCTCTTTAAAATGAAGTGGAAAAAAGCAACATACCTTGGATTTTGCTTCTCAGATATTTCAGCAGTTCCTGGGTGCCTTTCTTTAAAAAAGAAACAAACCCCAAGTCACTCAGCAGTAATTGTGCAGCTGGGGGGACAATGCAGAAGGACAATGCCAGCACACAGGTGGAGCCCACAGCATTCCTGACTAAAAATCCCACTGAAAATCCCACAGCAGCTCGGGAACTTGCTTGGTTATCATTTTATTTATTCCAGCTTTCTGATTTTATTTATACCAGAATTTCTGATCCTGAATTACAGCCTCAGGCTGCATTTCTGTAGCTCCTGATGTGAAGATTTTTGCCACTTCCAAGAGCAAGTAAAAAGGCTCCAATGAGCTTAATTTTCCCTTTAAAAAGCTCCAGCACAATTTGCTCTGGAGAGCACATTTACAGAGTCAGTGAAGCTGACTGCTCACCATTCTGCTACTTTTTTATGGCCCACATCATAAACTCTGGGAAAATCGTGGCAGTTTGCAGCATTTGCAGGGATTTTTAACAGCTCCAAAGATTTCCCTCAGTCCTCTCACAGCAACTCCCAGAGGTCAGACACAGCTGCTACCTGCACAAACCTGTGGGCAGTGAAGCCCAAGCTCCTCTGCACTGTTTGTTTTAGGGGAAAGGAAGGTTTGGGGTATGATTTCACAGGTTTCAGAACCAGGGACTGACCTAAAGTGCTGGATGTGAATGAACATTTCTCACTCCAGCTGACACAGCTAGGAGACTGGAGGAACACAGAGGGATAAAGGGAATGCAGATGTTGGAAAGGAGGGAATTGCCACAAGGAGACAGGCAGGGAGAGGGGGACTGTGCTGAGCATGGCAAGGGAAGCCATTCAGGGAACAAGCTGGGAAGTTGTGAGAGAAAGGTGAAGGTCAAACTGAAATCTCAGTAACAGATGCATGGGAAGGAAAGCAGAGAGCAGGGTAAAGCTCCAGAGCCAAGCAATGGCATGGGAATTAACAAAAACAGACCAGGATTTACCAGAAATTAACTGGAAATTCACCAAGAACCAGGAATGGGGTTGGGACTGGAATGAGAGGCCTGAGGAAGAGAAGGTGAGCTGGGCAGGGCTGGAGAAGGGAAGAGAAGAATCTGCTGCTCCCCTACACTCACCCCAGTCCTTTATCTCAGTATCCACCTGCTCCAAGCAGTGCCTGGGGAGCCCTAAAGCTCCTCCACCAATTGCCCCTCTAAACCAAGTGGAAAAAAAAATCCAGCCAGGCAGAGAGAATTGCAGCCAGCTGAATTTACAGTGTTGGTGACAGATCCAGGCAGCACAGAGCGTGGCATGACGGGCTCCTCGTGCCTGGCCTTTGGCCCAGGTGGGAAACACAGCCCAGGAGTGACAATTGCAGCTGAAGCAGCAAACCCTCAGTAATCCAGGAACAGCAGAACTCCAGCATTCCTGACTCAGACTCCATTCCAGGAACACTTTGGACAAGTGCTCATTAACTCAGGGCACACTCTGCTCCCTCAGCCAGGCACACCAGGGCTTCCCTCTCCTGACAGATGTTACAGATTTCATTGCAACACAGACTCGTCAGTTCTGCTTATTTTGGGAGCATCCCAGTGCTTTGGGAACACTGATTTTACAACCCTGGCAAAGGCACAGAAGTAGGAATGTGCAGCACCACTAGAGGGGCCTGCCAAGGGAAAAATCACAGGGAACTGTGTAGCAGGAGTGGTGCCCAGGCTGCAGCCTCGTGCTGCCCTAAGGACTCCTTTTCCTGGGAACAACTCACACCCTCCCCTTGCTGCCTGCCTACAAGAGAACAGAGCACTGAATCCAAGAACTTTCATTAAGACAAGACCTTAAAGCCCATCCCACTCCATCCCCTGCCATGGCAGGGACATTTCCACTCTCCCAGGCTGCTCCCAGCCCCTGGCCTTGGGCACTGCCAGGGATCCAGGGGCAGCCACAGCTGCTCTGGGCACCTGTGCCAGGGCCTGCCAGGGAACAATTCCTAATTCCCAATCTCCCATCCATCCCTGCCCCTCATCCTGTCCCTCCATCCCTGTCCAAAGTCCCTCTCCATCTTTCCTGCTGCTCCTTCAGGCCCTGAAAAGCCACACTGAGGTCACCCCAAAGCTTCTCCTCTCCAGGTGAACAATCCCAGCTCTGCCAGCTTTTCCTTCCAGCAGAGCTGCTCCATCCCTGGGACCATCCTGGTGCCTCCTCTGGACCCTCTCCAGCAGCTCCAGGTCCTTCCTGTGCAGATGTCCACACACACAAGCAAACCCCAGTGCTCACTTGCAGCAGGTCTCTCCGAATGGTTCTCAAAGGATTTCCCTCCAGGGCCAGGAATTTCAGCTGAGGGAGGTTCCCCAGGGTGTAAGGCAACCTGCAGAGGGAAACAACTGATTGATTCCACAGCAGCTCCAAAAGCACTGCTACAGAATGTGCAGTGGCTGCTCAGAGGGGATCCTGAAGCTCAGGTTCACAGAAAAAGATGCAGAATCCCAGATTCATTTAAGTTGGAAAAGCTCTCCCAGACCATCTCTGCCAAGCTCTGCCCAACTCCCACCTTGTCACCAGTCCAGAGCTATGAGTGCCACCTCCAGGAATTCCCTAGGCACCTCCAGGGATGGGCACTCCAAACCTCCCTGGGCAGTTCCAAGCCCCGAGCACCCTTTCCGTGGGGAAATCCCTGCTGCTGTCCACCCTGGGGCCGTTCCCTCTGCTCCTGTCCCTGTTCCTGGAACACAGCCCGACCCCCCGGCTGTCCCCTCCTGGCAGGAATTGTGCAGAGCCACAAGGGCCCCCTGAGCCTCCTTTTCTCCAGGATGAGCCCCTTCCCAGCTCCCCCAGCCTCTCCTGGGGCTCCAGCCCCTTCCCAGCTCCCTCAGGGATTCTCCAGCCCCTTCCCAGCTCCCTCAGGGATTCTCCAGCCCCTTCCCAGCTCCCTCAGCTGCTCCTCACAGCACTCCCAAGCCACAGCGAAGTCACAGGCAGAACACAGAACATTTCACAAGTCCCAGTCTGATCTCAGCAATCCCACAACACACAGAGGGCTCCTTCATTTCCTGACTGAGTCATTCCTGAAGTGCCCTTCCCACGGAAGGAAGGAGCTGCCACCACCCAGCCCCAGCCCAGGTGTCACTATTACCTACTGATGTCATTGTTGGCCAGGTCGAGCCTCTCCAGCTTCTGCAGCACCGTGATCTCCTCGGGCACTGCCTTGATCTTGTTGTCCCTGAGCTCCAGCACACACAGGGAGCTCAGCTGCTTCAGGTTCTCTGCATTCAGGATTTCAATCTGATTCTCCCCAGCGTGTAATTCCTATGGGAACAAAGAGCACCACAACTGTGGGAAAATTGCTTCATAATTTATGTCCTAAATTGTGACATCAGCAGTTATCAGTATGATGATGTGGAGAATATGGACATCTTGATTCCCTTCCATCTGCCTACAAAATACCTGGATATAACCTGATTATGTTAAAAGGAAAAACAGTGTATTTCCTCTGCAGTTGCAAAGAAAAAATTATAATGAACAAAGTGAATTTATCCAGAAAAAGTTCCCAAAGATAAAAAATAACTGTTGCAGGCAATATTAGATCCAGCTTTCAGTCATTCCTCTCCTGAACACTTTTTATCTTCCAAATCTGGAAAAGTTCTGCAAACTCATCTTTCAAAAGGTTGAATAACAAGGGCAGGAAGAGAAGTTGCACGTTAAACAGAGTTCCAAACACAGAGCTGTCATCTGCTTTTGATCACAGCACCTCACAAAAGCTTGTGCTTAAAGTAACTGTCACTATTTCAAAGTTTACAGCACAGGCAGTTCCAGCAGAGCAGCCATTCCAAGCTCACCTTCAGTAACTTGCAGGAGGGAAGCTCTGGCAAAGAACGCAGTTTGTTTTTCCTCAGGTAAAGCTGCTCCAGGGATGCCATGGTTGCTAATTTAGGAGGTACTGTCTCCAGGTAATTTTTGGTACAATCCAGTTGCTTCAAGCCTGTGGAAGTCAATGTCCAGTGAGAAACAGAGAAGATAAAAATACCTTTCTACAGCAACATAATTGCCCTGGGGGTTTAATTTAAAATAAACACAACATTTTGCCAAACAGATCCTAGAAGTAATAACTGATTTTCTTCAGCAAACAGTAACTCTTTCAAGATCTATTTTAAAACCTTGCACTGTACTGCTGAACACAAGCACAGCCCTGGCTGTCTGGCATTAATAACCCGAGGAAAGTGAATTACTTTTCATGGCACTGAGATCTGCAGGCAGCTCCTTGAGCTGGTTACAGGCCAGGTTGAGCCGCACCAAGTTCACCAGCAGAGCAAAACTGGTGGGGATGGCTGTGAGCTGGTTGTTGGACACATCCTGCACGTGGAAACAGAGAGAGAGAGATGAGAGGTGTCTGGAACATCCCAGGAGTGCTGCTACTGCAGAGTTAATTAGTGGCAGAACAGTAAAATTAGATTGCTGACAACTGGCACAAGTGTGAGAGAAGGAACAACTCCCCCAGGACTGACAGTTCGCCGGGGACTTCAGCTTTCCCAAAATATGTCAAACCAAGAACAAACTAAAAACAAACCCCACCGTGCAGTAACTGACACTAGAACAGCCACTGGAATATTTCCAAGTCCTGCTGCTGAATCCCAGGGATTTTTAACTAGCAGACAAACCCTTTGCAAACACAGAGACAGGTCTGGAGCTGTGCTTTACCAGCTCCTCCTGCTGAATCCCAGGGATTTTTAACTAGCAGACAAACCCTTTGCAAACACAGAGACGGGTCTGGAGCTGTGCTTTACCAGCTCCTCCTGCTGAATCCCGGGGATTTTTAACTAGCAGACAAACCCTTTGCAAACACAGAGACGGGTCTGGAGCTGTGCTTTACCAGCTCCTCCAAGCTGAGGAGCTGCCCCAGCCCCTCGGGCAGCTGGCTCAGCTCGTTGTGCTGCACCAGGAGGCTCCTCAGACGGGGCAGCTGCAGCAGCTCCTCGGGAAGGCTCCTCAGTTTGTTATGGCTGGGGTGGAAACATGGAACACAAAGGCAAAGGAAAAACACTCAGGAGATTTTAGGAATGTAACTGCACACAGAACATTTGTGTGCCACAGCCTGCTGGTCAGGACACTCTAAGGAACAATTCATTATCTTTATTTATTTGTTCAAACAGACTTTTAATCCTACTCTGAATTTACAGCATTCTAGATGGATCTCAGGTTTGTTTATGTACTTCACACATGCAGTGGTAGCATAACCTCTCCTTGTGCACAGATTTACAAAATTATCCCAGTAAACAGGAGATTCTGAACCTTCCAGCACAAACAAGATCTACACAGTTATTTACAATGTGCATTATTCATGACTGGAAATGTTTTATCCTCAGAACTGCCAGACTGAAGCAAATAAATGCAAATAAATATTTTGTGTATCATTATTCAGAATATCACTGTTTGCACCTTCCAAGCAATTGTGACTTTGAATACCAGTGAAAACAAATCCAACAAACCCAAGGCCACCAGTTTTGATCCAAAATGGATAATGTAACATACACAATACATAATAATATTCTACAATGAGTAATCCGGAGTTAATTTTTTGAAAAAACGGTTGCTATCCTGCAATTTCTCACTCACACCCAAAAGTCACTGCAGTATTTTTCAAGTTTTCTCTGTAACACGGCCTTACCTGACATCGAGTTTCTGGAGATTTTCAAGCTGCCCTAAAGCAGAAGGCAATGATGTCAGTTGATTGTCATGCACCTGGAAAAGAGAGGTTTTAGGACACAGTTACTTATTTATACCTCAGAGGGTGGGGTTTTTTCGGGAAGAATTCCTCCCCAATATCCCACGGGTCCCAGCCCTCTGGCAGTGGGAAGCCATTCCCCCTTGTCCTGGCACTCCAGGCCGCTGTGAAATGAATACACCGGGGAAATGGAAAACAAAGATCCAGGATGACGTTTCCCCATGTCCTACAGGGAAGCACCGTGAGAGCACCGAGGGGTCCCTGTACTCACGTCCAGCATGGTGAGGGCAGGCAGCAGCTGCACATCCTCCGAGAGGCTCTGCAGCTTGTTGGAGGCCAGGATCAGCTTGGTCAGGTCGGTCTGCTCCCACCAGCGATCGGCAGCTCCGAAGGACAGGTTCTGCTGGGCTTCCTCCGGCGTGTCCAGGTTGATCCTCCACACGTGCTCGGGCACTGCAGCACAAACACAGCCGTCAGCTGAACCCCGCAGGTGTCTGCTCCAGCATTTCACTGTCAGAGTGCTTTTTGGGTGTAAAATCGTGGAGTGGGTTGGGCTGGAAGGGACCTTCATGATCATCTAGGTCCAACCCTTCTGCCTTGGGGGATGACATATATAGACATACATAAATATATATGGATGCATGTAGGCATATACATATGTGTGTACGTATTAAAAAAAGACATCTATACATAGATACATATATATATATACATGCACACATGTATGTAATACATCCCTATGTCACTCTCCCGTCCACTGTGTCCTAGAGACATTTTTGCAGAGGCAGCAACAAAAGCCGATGGAAACATGCCAGAAACGGACAACAGCGAGCAGATGGCGCTCCCCGGGAGCCGCTCCCGCCCCGCCCGAGGCTCCCGGGGGCTCCCCGGCAGCAGCCCCGGCGAGCTGCGGGGCAGGAGGGCCCCGCGGCCGGCCGGGCTCACGCACCGTGGGTGAGATGATCATCTAGGTCCAACCCTTCTGCCTTGGGGGATGACATATATAGACATACATAAATATATATGGATGCATGTAGGCATATACATATGTGTGTACGTATAAAAAAACACATCTATACATAGATACATATATATACATGCACACATGTATGTAATACATCCCTGTCACTCTCCCATCCACTGTGTCCTAGAGACATTTTTGCAGAGGCAGCAACAAAAGCCGATGGAAACATGCCAGAAACGGACAACAGCGAGCAGATGGCGCTCCCCGGGAGCCGCTCCCGCCCCGCCCGAGGCTCCCGGGGGCTCCCCGGCAGCAGCCCCGGCGAGCTGCGGGGCAGGAGGGCCCCGCGGCCGGCCGGGCTCACGCACCGTGGGTGAGGCCGCGCCCCGCCAGGTTGAGCTGCCCGCTGCGCCGCGCCAGCCGCAGCAGCCCCTGCGGCACCGCCGGCGCCGCCTCGGCCGCCNCCGCGGGCGGGCCCGGCCCACCCCCGGCGCCGCCATTTCCCGCCCCGCCGTGCCGAAATGGAGCGCGGCGCCGGGCCCGGGCCGCGCTGCTCCGGTGTTGTGCAAGGACACGAGGAACAGCACGTGAAACGGCGCTTTCACATCAGTTTATTGGTTTTGCTGTCCCCCTTAGCGCTGTACGCGGCTGCACTGCAGCCTCTGGCGGGCTGTGGGTGGCTGGGCTCGATGATCTGCAGGGTCTGTTCCAACCTCAGTGGAATCTCAGGATGGTTTGGGTTGGGAGGGGCTTTAAAGCCCGTCCCGTGCCATTCCCGCTGTGCCGTGGATGGAATGAGATGATATCCAAAGGCACAACTGCTTGGAAGGTGCAAAGAGTGATGTTCTGAATAATCATACGCAAAATTTTCCACACCTTCCCCTGTCCCAGGCTGCTCCAAACCCCAGTGTCCAGCCTGACCCTGGGCACTGCCAGGGATCCCGCTGCTCTGTGCCAGGACTTGCCCACCCTCCCAGGGAAGGATTTCCCCCCAGTATCCCATCTAAACCAGCGCATGGAACCAGCCCCGTGCCTGCAGATCCCACCAGCAGCTCCCAGCGAGAGGAAAATGCTGATAAAGGAATGCGGCCCCACGCTGGACTGTATCTCTCTTCACTCTGTAAAAGCACATCTGTGTTTCAAACACTCCCCTCTTTGAAAAATGCTTCTACGAGTAGTCCAATTGGAATGAAAAGTAATTAGTGAAGGTTTAAATTCATACATTAGTCAAGTATGTGATTCAGGAAACTCACTTCAGGCACTTGCTCTTGACTAAGGATATTGGCCTCATTAGGTTTTTTACCAGTGTTCTTTAATTCCAACCCCCCTTTATTTCTCCTCTCTCAGTGGAGGCAGAAACACACAGAAAATACTGGGTATTTCAACTGATTTTTTTTTTTTTTAAACCAGTGGTGCTTAAATATGGGTTTTAAGGACTTCAGAGGGTGAGTGCTCTGTGCCTCAGGGCCCCTGGTAAAAACACTGTGTCCCTTTCATCTCATTCAGTTTCAACGCTGTTGGATAGCTAAGTTCCACATGGAACATTGCTGACAAATTCAAACCTGGAATTTAAATAAGCTTTTGGCAATTCAGTACAAGACATGGCATCTGTGATATTTCACAAGTGGAAATGTGACATCTGGTAAGGGAGGACAGTGTCTCCTACTTTATGAATCAGATGCGGCAGAATTTCAGCTGGATTAATAAATAAGGCTTGTTTTATTTACATTCAGGAAATACATTAACATAAAGCAACAAACTCATCAGGAAATAGTGTGATTTGTACTATGTAAACCACAAACACTTTTTTTTCCCCTCTCTAATGAGAAATTCCGACCCCAATGTTGCACTGCTTGCGATGCCTTTTCTGGGGCTACCTGAAAAGAGAGTTCAGGGAGTAAAAAGCAGGAATATTTTTGAAAGGCCTTCAGGTACATTTTGGGCAGATGAAGCCCCCCAGGGACTACGCCCAAAAATGGATGATGGGGGTCACGAATTTTCACACTTTTATAAGTTGGGTTTATTTGCATATTGAGGGTTAATGTTCCAATTACACCTTCAGGCAACGAAGCCATTCACCCCAAGTTTGCTCCCCCCAACTCACTTTTGTTTCCATCTCTGGGGGCCTGAGGCAGTGAGGTCTCCCTGATTGCCAGGCCTGGAGAGGAATTGTGCCTGACCAAAATGCATTGTATATGGAGTTTATTACGCACTAAAGAACTGCAGGATCACAAATACAGAAAAGCCGGAATGCCAAGGCATCACGGGGGACAGCGTATTTCGTGGGAGTTTGCTCTGCGGGACGATGAGGGACGCGGAGGCCATGAGGGCCCCTCAGAGCCGCCTCAGCTTTCCCGCGCAGCGGGGCTCTGAGGGGGTGGGGTGGGTGGGGGGGGGGCAGGCTGAGCGCGCGCGCGCGCGGGGCCGGGGGGAGCGCACCGGGCCGGGATTGCCGGGCCGGGGGCGGCGGGGCCGGGAGCCGGGAGCGGTGGGGAGCGAACCGGGCCCGGCGGCAGCAGCGAACCGCAGCGCCGCGCCTCACCCCCCCCCACGCTGTGTCTGCCGCAGCACCGGCGTGAGCGGGCGGCGGCGCCATGGCCTCCAGCAGCGGCACCGACGTGATCCAGGTCACCAACGTCTCGCCCAGCGCCAGCTCGGAGCAGATGCGGACCCTCTTCGGCTTCCTGGGCAAGATCGAGGAGCTGCGCCTCTTCCCCCCCGAGTGAGTGCGGGCCCGGCCCGGCCTCGCCGCCTCCCCCTCCGTCCCTCCCCCCGCGGCCCGGCGCCGCCTCCCGGCAGCTCCCGGCCCGGCCGCCCCCGCTGCCGCTGCCGGTGATGGCGGCGCCCGGGGCCGCGCTCCCCCCGGGTCCGTGCGCTCTGCGCGGCCCTGCTCGCTCGCCGGGATTAGTGCGGGGCGTGGAGCGGCACCGGGGAAATGCCCGTTTGTTTGTCCCGGGTTGTGCGGCCGAGCCGCGGCTGCCTGCCGAGCCTCCGCGGCGCCAAAACTTCCAGGTGCACGTAGACGCGTTTGTTGCAAAGAATTTTTTGCTGGAAGAGCAAAAAAAATTTTTATGCTTTTATAAGCTGCGTTTATTTGCATATTGAGGGTTAATGTTCCGATTACAGGTAACGAAGCCGTTCGCCCCAAGTTTGCTCCCCCCCAAGTCACTTTTGTTTCCGTCTCTGGGGGCCTGAGGCAGTGCCCTAGCCTACCCCTAGTGTGCAAAAAATGCACTTTTAATATCTGTGTTCCTTGCGAACGAATCTGTGCTGGGCAGAAAGGAAACCACAAACAGACAAATGGACATTTGGCAGTTGCACATCTTGCAGGGAATTCTGTGCAAATTAAAACAAATAATGCACGTTTCAAGTGTGTGTATAACTGAAAAGAAAGTTTCAGGTGAAAAAAAGAAAGTTTTCACCCCTGCAATTTACAAATAGCCACCCACCAAAAGAAAAAAAAAAAGACTGTTTTTATGTATTCACTTGCAATTAAGTTCTAATGAACATAAACAGTGCTTTCAGAATCCTTTCTGATGCAATAGAAAACCTGACGGTTTCATTTGATTGATTTACAGAGCCTGGTGTCATTATATGTTGGTGTTTTGCATATTCATTATGTAAATTAAAGGTTTTCTTTCTGCCACGTTGAAGATTAATCAATCAATTATTTGTAATACCCAAAATTACTTGGGTTTATTATTTTAGGGGGAAAAAAAATACAGCAGAATGTTTGTTTTTCCCCATCGAGGCTTCCATCCTGGCTAGCACAAACCAAAGTGGGTTCCAGAGGGAGTTTCTTGTTCCCAGCTGGGATAACTGACACAGCAGGAGCTCACCTGCCCTGCTCTGTGTTTGAATGCTTGGTCTGGTTTTCCAGGGCAGTTTTTGGAGGTGATTGTTCTCTGAAACTTTGTAGCTTTAGATGCACGTTAACTCATGTGTTGAGGGATTGCTGCAGTGCCTCGGTGTCCCTTCCCTTGTGTGAGGAGCTCTGCCCCAGGGGGTTTTCCCTGGCCTGATGGGAATCTGCTCTGGGTCGCTTCAGGGCTCCCAGCTGCACTTCACCCCAAAGAAAGGGACTTTTTGTGATAGTGCCACCTTCTTTTCCTGCCTCTTCTCCCTCACATTCCAGCTCCTGACTTCTCCCTGCCCATGGTGCCCATCCATTATGGAGGGGTATGGGATGTAAATCATAATCTGGGAATTGTCCCCATAATCTGGGTTCCTTTCTGGATCCTGCTGGGATTCTCCCTTGCCTGTAGTGTTTGAGGAGCCAATCCCATTTCCTTTGCTCCAGCTCCCTGTTTGATCTGTGTCACTCTGACTCTGCTGTAGAGCTTCCTTGTTCTCCTGCTCTTCCAGAACACGTGTAACTTCCTGAGCTTCTCTCAGTTCCTGTTTTTCCTCCTCTCCCCTCATCCACCTCCTTTTCCCAGTTTATTTAATCCCCTGTTTCCCATTTATTGTACACCTCAGCTGCACCTTTAATGCACAGCCAGCTCTGGGACCTCTTCCAATTTTCCTCCCCCTCCTCCTCCTGCTTTTCCCCGACTCCATTGCCTGGTTCTCATCTTTATTATATTCCATAAAACTCCATCCAGACTGGAAAGTGGAGGGAGTGGATTTCTGAGCTTCCTGTATTGCAGCCCCAGGAAATCCTTGTGTGTCCCAGCATTCCAGTGGCTGAGAGACAATTCCTGAATGCTTCAGGCTTGGGTGAATTAGAATAATGATGGATGGTGGCTTTTTTTGGGAGCTGTTGAGAACATCCAGTTCTTGTTGAATTTCACCCAGCCTGGATTTGAGAGTGAGTGGAAATACCATTTTTTAAAGTGCAATACACAGATGTAAATTAAATGTCAGGCTGCAGAAGCGTTGCCTAACACATTTTCAGTTGTTATTTTAGGTTCATTATTTTGGGAGAAAGCTCAGCTACCCCAAAGCATTCCCAGTGGCACTCCTGCCTGTAAACAGGATCTGCTGAAGAGTCACTAGGATCTGCTCTGCTTCACATTCCTTTGTTATCACTGGCATTTTAAAGATGCCTCAAAATACTGGGCTGCATTTCTGTCATGAATTGTATAATTTTTATACAATTTGGTTTAGGAACTCCTTCAGCTCTGCCATCAACCCTTGATTTACTTTCCTTTACAATTTGATATATAATATCAAATACCTTCTACTAACACTTCTTTGGGTTTATGTTATTATTATTTTTTTATTTCTCGTTATTTCTTATTAATTATTACTTAGGGGCTAAAAAAGGCACCATTTTGGCAAGCTGCTATGGATTCCTGGGCACAAAAGAGCCAACAGATTCCTTTTTTTTTTCTCATTTATCACTGCAGTTATTTCCCAATTTATTCAGTCTGCAAGCTGTGGGAGCAAGTGGCTGTTTCTAATTTTAATGTTTCAGAAGCTGCAATGTGCTGGCTGCAATTTAGTTTTCCACACCAGGTGAAATGTAAGGTTACTGAAGTGTGGTGTGGCTGGCACTGGGGGCAGCTGTGTGTGTTGGGCCCAGTGAGGCTGAAGGTGAGGGAGCTTTTGGCATTTGCAGTGCCCAAAATAGACCCTGGATCTGTCTGCTCGTGTCGGAGCTGTTCCCTGAATCCTGACAGCCCCCGGAGCTGAAAGGCTTGAGCAGCCTCAGCAGCCCAGATCAAACTGCTCTGGAGCTGGGATGCCTTTGAAGTCACTTGTTCTGGAGTTGGGCTGGGAGTGCAGGTAGGAAAAGGAGCTTTTTGTCAGGATCCGTGATGTTTTCAGAGCTCCCCAGGCTGATCTGGACCTCTGGCCTGGTGTAGGAACAAGGGATTTAGGATTTGCTGCTGCTTCCACTCCCTGCCTGGGTCTTCTGGAGGCAGCTTTTAACTCCTCTGTCCCACAGTTCTGTCTGCAGAAGAATTTTCCTTCCTGTCTTTCACTTTACATCCAATTACAGCAAAATCTGCCCCACTTTCAGGACAGGGGGGCTCTTAAAACCCATCCTGGACCTTGCCTGGGTTGACTGCAGCTGGTTTTTTCAGTTTGGTTTGATTTTAGGGAAGTTACAGCTGTAGTTCTACCATTCTTTCCTGTTATAGGAAGTAGATATTTCTGGTTGGTTTTTCTTCAAAGTGGCTCAAAACTTCTCAGTTTTGGGTTTGTGGGTTGACAGACACAGGCCTGCCTTGGAGAGAGGTCTGTTTTACTGTGCTCAGCTTTTCTCCTGCCGAGCTCCTTACATTTCCTTGTGTTTGTTCTTCCTGCTGAAGGCAGGCAGGAGCTCTGCACTGGCCATTCCTCAGGATGTGGGAGCGTGGTGAAGTTTAGCCTCGAAGCTGGGATGGAATTGGGTTGATGAATAAAACAGAATCCCAGACTGGTTTGGGTTGGGAGCGACCTTAGAGCTCCTCCAGTGCCACCCCTGCCATGGGCACACCCCTTCCACTGTCCAGGCTGCTCCAGCCTGGCCTTGGACACTGCAGGGATCCAGGGGCAGCCACAGCTTCTCTGGGCATTCTTTTCCAGGGCCTCAGCACCCTCCCAGCCAGGAATTCCTTCCCAGTATCCCATCCCTGCCTGCCCTCTGGCAGGTCAAAGCCTTCACCCCACACCCTGCCCCTGCGTGCCCTTGTCCCGAGTCACAAGGATCCTTTAATCATCACCCTCTTGTTTCACAGTTCACCTTAATCAGTCATCTGGGGCCTAAAGCAGCGGGTGTGACACCACAGGCTTTAACTGAGCCAGAATTTGTCACTTTTTCTCCTTTTTCAGCCAAGTTTTCCTCCCAGCCAGGGCGGAATTCTCATTTAGGTGAGCGCTGATGGATTCATTGTGCGTAACGGCGCTCGCGTGCGGCTCCAGGCGAGGGGCGTGGATTTGGGGTGGTTTTGGGGTGGTTGTGGGGTGGTTTTGGGGCGGATGGGCACTGCTCCCTGCTGTCCCTGAGTGCTGCCTCTGTCTCTTGCAGTGACTCCCCCTTGCCGGTGTCGTCGCGCGTGTGCTTTGTAAAGTTCCACGACCCCGACTCGGCCGTGGTGGCCCAGCACCTGACAAACACTGTGTTCGTTGACAGAGCCCTCATAGTCGTTCCCTATGCTGAAGGTTTGTACCTTGTTTGGTGTTCTATGGGGCCACCCTTGGGCGGTGGTTGGTTCCTGTCTAGTGCACGGATTTTAACAGTAGTCCTATGTCAAACACGTGTCAGAGATTGCCGTTCTGAAACCCTTGGTATATTGCCTTTGGCCCCTGCCTTTGGTCACTTTGTTTCTGTAGTGACGCCAGATCGGAGTGGAAAGTTCTGTGTGTCTTGAAGTGTAGGATAAGAACATTTTAGG